CCTATAGGGTTGCTCTGAGTCAGCATCGACTTGATGGCAGTAAGTTTGGTTGATTTGGGTTTGGGTTTGGGTTTGGGTTTGGATAGAGCAGAGGGAGCTGAAGCATCTAGTCCCTGCCAGGTATTGGTCTTCACGTTCAGTGAGCATTTCCTCTAATCCCTACAACCACCCTGCACAAGCCGCATAGTATCACCCCATCTTTCAATAAGGAAATTCAGACACGAAGAGGGTCAGTCTTGGCCATAGGACACAAGCCCCAGTGGTCAGCGGCCAAAGGCAGGCTGAGGCCGTTTCTCTGCACACTCGTGCATCAGTTTGAAGGGAAAGTACGTTTCCTCTATTCCAAGCAATCTCACCTTCCCTTAAAACCTGTGCTTTGCAATCCTGGGTGCACATTAGCATCCCTTATGGAGTTGTATTGTCTAACCTAGACATGGACCCCAGGGATGCTGATCTTGATCTACAGAGTAGCCCAGCTGATTCCAGAGTGCCCCTAGGGCCCCAGATCTCTCACCCCAACTTGTTCTTCCCCCAGGCCATCCAGATCCTCATCGGCCTGATGCACATCTTTCTGGGGATCAATCCCTTACTGTATCCGAAAGGACTAATAATGTGTGTGACCGGAGCCTCGGGGTACCTGTTCTGGGGAGGAATGTCTGTGAGTACACGGCCAGACGGCCTCTTTCCTGGAGGAATAAGGAGCCCAGAATCTTAGCGCTTGTGTCTCCGTTGCTTCACGTGGCTGAAAGCATAGAAATATCACACACAGGTGGTGTTAAAGACTAGAAATGTATTTTCTCACAGTTTGGGAAGCTAGAAGTTTGAGTTCAGGGCACCGATTGCTCTTTGTCACTTGGGGGTGGGAGATCTTTATCTCACATGGCTTCTATCTTCCGCCACCGGTGCTTGCTTCTCTCTGTAATCGGCTCTTTTGGTATCTTAAAAGTCATGAGGCTTCAATTACACATATAATCACCTCAAAAGAATCCCTACTGGCAAATGGGATGACAGGACATATTTGGCAGGGACACAATCCAATTCATCTCAACTCAACAACTCAGCTCACTGCCCTTGAGTCGATGCCAACTCATCATGACCCTATAGGGCAGGCACACAGCAGAAGGGGAATCAAGCTTCACACCAACCTAAAGCCAACTGCCAGAAGGCAATTTGGACACCAACCATCCCTCCCACAGCACCTCTACATCTCACTGGGTTCAATAATTCATCACAAGGACCACACAGAACTCACAAACAAGACTCATGATTGTGGAGTTGATTTGGGAGGGTAACAGTTTCCAAAATGTTAAGGATACAATTCTTTGGTCCACAATGTCCCTTCTCAGCCATGCTGGCAGGCATGTCTTTCTCTGGTCCTCAACCACTCAGCCTCATGGTCCCTTGGCCTCTCTGCCTCATTACATGAGCCAAGAAGCCCATCTCTCTGCCTGGGGCTCTCCAGGCCGCTCCTCTGTTCTGCCTCATGGTCTCCATGCAGCGACCCTCCTCTGGCTCATAGTCTCGATGCTGCTGTCGCTCATGCCTCTGCCACTTCTTGCACAAGCTCTACTGGTGGTTCTTTCTTCATGGCCATGGGATTCCTGTTCCTGCTTCTGAAATGCTTCTTCTACTCAGCAGAGTGCCAAAGCTGGCTAATCCCCGACTTAGCGACCTCTACACTATTTACATGCACCCACCCCTTCACTGGGAGGGAGTCACAAAGATTATGGACAGAAGAAGCATATTAAGAGATTCAACGTCACCACACTTGGAAGTGCCGGAAGAAGGCCCCTTTTCATTCAAGGCTCTCACAAATGGATTCTTATCTCCTCTTGTATCCATATATCCATCACCTATCTAGCAGCATCAAGAGCTAGCTGGAACAGTAACTTTCCCAGAATCACAAGGTGTGTTAGCAGCAGGAGTAAGGTAGGCGCTCAGGCATCCTATCTCCCAGGCTAAGGCCCTGTTCGCAACACTACCCTGCCCCTGGCTTTCCAAGCTCATTAAGGCAGGCTAGGTGAGCAATGCATGCGTTTGGGCCAGGACTACACCCAGGAAATGAATTACAAGAGATTCCATCTGAAAAAGAATGATACTTAAAGCATCCTGAAGAAACGTTCAGCTTTTTAGGGGGTGGGAGGTGTCTAAACACACAGGTGTTTGAGTATGAGGTCTAGTCATGGGAGAGTGGACATGTTGAGAGAGAGTAGCTAGATTAGCACATCTTATGAAAACAGTAGATGGAGCATGCAGTTTGAAAGGCACGTCTAGGGGTGGATGGTTATCTTTGCAAAGCTGCTTATTCTATTTTGGTTTTGTCTTGTAATTTATTACATCTGGATCCCTCTCTGTCCATGCAGCAAAGGACCCCAGCCCATGTATGGTGAGTGCCAGGTCTCTCTGGGTCAAAATCAACTTAATGGCACCCAACAACAACAACAATCTAGTCTGCTGACCTACAGTCTCCCTCCCTCCAGAAGCCGGACACCCCAACCACTCCAATATCCGTGGGGCTCACACTGCCCACTAACATCCCAACAAGACTGTCACAAGCCCCATCCCACATCTTGTGTGAAATCCCACACCCTCCCGAAGGTGTCTGCCATGCCAGGGTCTCCTCGCCCCCTCTGGCTCAGACGCCTGGCTTCTCACTGAGTGTGGGCTTTCTGATCTCGGTACCACATGACGTCACCACGATTCAGGCTCCATCGGATGGCCACTGGTTTGCATTTCGCTCGTTTCTTTCTTCCGGTGTTCTCTTTTGTTTGGTGGGTTGGGCCTGTCGGCTCTGCCTCTGGAAGGGCCTGAGTGGTGTAAAGAGTGGATGCCCCCTGCTGCTTGCCTAAAGACAGATGCTCCAGTCCCCCCAGGGGTGACTCTGTACTTCCAGAAAAATCCAAAGGCCTGCTCATCTCCTAAAGCACCAACGATGGGTCGCCTGCTGAAGCAGTTCTGCTCAGGGGCACATGGGACCAACTCAGAATTGAATCAGCAGCAACTAGGGGCCTCACCTGGGCTCGTCCCAAATATGGGACATCGCCCCTTCTTTATTTCCTTCACTTGCTCCTCCCAAGGCCCCCCTCAGAGTAGGAAGCTTGAGTAGGAGACACATCTAGACCAGGCCTTTCCTTCCCTTTCTGAGTAGGCAAACCTGGGCTCCCTGCTCACTCCCTCACCCCCCAACCCCCTGCTGAGCTCTTTTTCCTAGCCTTATCTGTTCCTAGTTTCCTTCTAACCCAGCCCTCAGAATCTCATCCCCGACCTTCAGCTGCTCCTGATAATATTTTCCACACACCGTTTCTTCTTCCCTACATTTGGGGTGCTGCACATTGGTGACAGAATAGCGTTCTCCCCTCACTGCACTTGAAACACACCGGATTCCTCACCCCGCCGCCAGGTCTCCTGTATTCAACCCGCCAAGAGTGCCCACAAGTCCAGCTTCAGACTCGCTCACTGCCTCCCCTGGCCCTTGTCTCCTGCAGGTGAATGGCAGCGTGGGCATGAACGTCGTCAGCGCGATCTTCTCTCTGTGTGGGATGTGCATTCTCATTACCGAGATGGCCCTGAATCCCGAGGTGAGCATTCAGTCTGCCAGGGCCCCGTGCTTCCAGGGACCTGGAGAGCTTACGGGGTTGCTTCCCCGGCAGAAGTCCTCTTCAGACAACACCACACTTGTTGTTGCTATTGTGCACCGTCCAGTAACTCCAACTCATGGCAACCCCATCCGACAGCGCAGGACTGCCCCCCGAGTACTGCCGTCGCTGTGATCTGCGTGCAAGCAGACCGCGAGATCTTTTCTTGTGCAGAACCACTGAGTGGGATTGAACTGCCAACCTTAGGGTTCCAAGGGCAGCCCAAACGATTAGCAGCGATATCCAGGAACGCCACTGCCCCTAGTGATTATCTGGCCATGATCCAAGCCCTGTGACCTTGGAGGAAAGCATAATGAACCCCATGTCTTGATCTCAGAGTCCCCTCCTGGTGTGAACACTGAATGAATTGACCAAAGGTTGGCAATTCCAGTCCCCCCAGAGGCAGCTCAGAAGAAAAGCCTTGCCCATGCACTTGTGAAAACATCTGCCATTGAAAACTCTCACTGTCAGGGATCGGGACAGGAGGTCCTGAGTAGAGTAGAAAAATGTGGAACAAATCTCAAAAATCGTAAAAGAAACAAAAAGTCCAGGATGACTGTCTGATGGAGGCCAGTGTATGGGGGTCACTAGGAGTCGGCCATGACGCAATGGCGGTGCGTTTTGAATTATGAGGTGAGCAGTCAGGCTGGGGAGGTGTGCACTCCATAGACTAGCCAACTAACTAGATCAAAGGGGCAACATTTGCAGAGGAAGAAAGCTCACAAGGTAGGAAGGGGTAGGGGGAAAAGATGAATGAGAACAGTAAACCCAGGGAGAAAGTGGGAGATGTGTTGTTACCGTGTAATTCATGTCACCAATCCAAATGTGGAGGCATTGTTGAATGGAAAGCCAAATGGCTCTGGAAAACGTTCACCCAAAACACGATAAATAGTTTAAGAGACGAAGTGATGGGTTTGGGTCACATTCTACACTAATAATTGTAAGAGAGAAACCCCTAGTCACATAACAGGATCCCTGTGAACGCCGACAGAAAACTCGATTTTCAAACAGGATTAGGCTCCACAAGGATAAGGGTCAGGATTTCAATACCTAGTTTGAAGGGACCCAGTTGAGTCCCTTCTACCTGCACCCCACACACCACCAGCACCCCACACACCACCAGCACCACCACGAACCTCCCGCCTGCCAAAGACAGACTGCATCCAGGCAGGAGCACCAGAAGCAGGCCAGAGAAGGGCAGGGCAGGACTGATGGCCCCAACCTTGCTGATGCTCGGCCCTGAGGCCAACCCCCAGCAAGCAAACTTCGAGTCAAGTAGAGTATTGGTGAAGCGAAGGCAATGCCAAACTAAAAAAATAACAATAATAATTCACTGCCATTGAGTCCGTTTGACACATCGTGACCTTATAGGACAGAGCAGAGCTGCCCCTGTGGGTTTCTGAGACTGTAACCCTTTCCGGGAGTAGAAAGCCTCATCTTTCTCCCGAGGAGCGGGTGGTGAGTTCCAACTGCTGACCTTTTGGTGAGCAGCCACACATAAACCCACTAAGCCACCAGGCAAGGCCAGTCGGGGGGCAATGAGATGAAGGAGGGAAGGCAGCCCACAAAGGGTGTGGCATCAAGCCCTGTGCCACTGAGGGCCGTGGAGCTCGCTCCTGGTGGAATTCCCAGAGACAGTGAAGACCACGTGATCAGAGTCTCGGACGCCAGGAGTAAGGGAGCTGGAGCATGAACCACCAACCCCTGACAGTCAATGACTGAGGGTTGCGTTCCGGGGACATGAATTCCCAGAACTTTGGATCTGTCCTGCAAACAGCAAAGTGGACTTCTAGGTCAGAGGAAGGAGCCGGAGGGCAACAGATGCAGGGGCTGGCAGTCAGAAGTCAAGCCAGTGTCTTCTGTGGAAAGATGGGGGACATCCGAGAGAGGCCCCCACAGCATCTGCTGCCAGGGGCCCGGAGCAGGAGGTCTGCAGCCATCTAGCTAAGCCATGCGGTGTGGTTGCCTGAGGTGAGCCTCTCACATGTGGACTGTGGCCAAGACCGTCACCCCTCAGGACTAACCCTCCTCCCATTCCCCTTACCTCTAGATTTATCTGGTGGTATATTCCGGGAGTCTCTTGCCCTTCGCCCTCCTGGAATTCTGCCTCACTTGTGTGGTCTCTCACTTTGGGTGTCAAGCTACCTGCTGGAACCGCTTCAAGGTGAGTGTTGGGCTGATGTCCAGAAGGAGAGCATCCTGGGGGAGAAGGGCATGATGGGAGGGGTGGCCAGGGTTTGGAGGGGAATGACGCTCAAGAGAAGGCATATCAGTTAAGCTTTGCTGTGTGAAAAGTCGCCCCAAAGCTAAAGAGCCCGAAACAGCAGCCTCTTTTTCAGTTCTCGATTCCGAGTCTGAGTAATTTAGGTTGTGATCGCCCTCCTGGTCTTTGCTTTTCAGAACATGACATCGATTTCTACCCGATTCAAAGCCAACCCGATCGGCACTACCCACGGCCCCTACAATGCTACCCACAGCGCCAACAGTGCTACCCACGGCCCCTACAATGCTACCCACAGCGCCAACAGTGTCACCAATGGCCCCTACAATGCCACCAACAGCGCCAACAGTGTCATTAATGGCCCCTACAATGCTACCCACAGTGCCAACAGTGCTACCAATGGCCCCTACAATGTTACCCATAGCGCCAACAGTGTCACCAATGGCCCCTACAATGCCACCAACAGCTCCGTTAACCCTGCCGCCAGCCATGGCACCAACTATGTCAATGTTGCCACCAGCCCTGTAAACACTACTGTTGGTGTTGTCCACGCTACCACCGACCCTGTCACCCATGCCTACCCCAACACCACGCCACAGGAAGTACCCTCCTCTATACCCTGAAGCCAAGGAAGAGCTGGCCCAGCCCAGAAATAGACGACCTGGGCTGCCTGTGGCAGACTCTTCCTGCTCTTGGCAGCTTCCCGGACTATGACCCCAGCCCTGTCATCAGACCAAAGAAGTTAAAACATGTTCAGCCTCCTTATTCCCCAGCTTCATTTGTGTTATGAAATTTTGGATTTTTTAAATCATAAATGTTTTCTCGTTGACTCTGGGTGCTGCTTCTCATTTCCGCCCCTGCTGTGGGCCTTAGTCTCCTCCCCATCTGTCCCTCAACCTTGAACCCACAGCTCTGGCCACCAGGTGGCTTAGTCACCAACCCACTCGCTCTCCTGCCTTTTCCATCTCCTCCGCACCAGATATTCTCTCTCCGTGCAACTCCACCTTGGAACTCCACCTACTCTTTAGGCATCACTGGAGGCTACTTCCTCCAGGAAGCTCTCCCTGATCACCAGCATTCATCTCTGCCTCCTCCCATCTTGCTGTGGTATTGGCTGAACATACCCGTAAGGCCTCTGGTCAGAATCTACACCCACACTGTTCCTGACTGTCCCTGTCAGCCCATCAGCCCAGTGAGACAGCCTTAAGCCAGGGCCACTTACTGGTTTAACGGGCACATACTGAGCACTGACTAGGTGCCTCTTTCTCCATGCATGCTCGGTGGACTGCCGTGCGCGTGTTTGCCCTGCCACTCTAGGTGTGGCGCTCTCTGTTGAGAGATGCAGTGGAAAGTGAGCCCAGGCAGGGCTGTAGCTCTTGGAAATAATTGACCCCACCCAGTAGTGAAATCACAGCTTTATGACTCACAGAGCAGTTGGGATGAAGGAAGACAGAATTAGACTCATGAGGTCTATATGCGTGGTGTGGGGACCACGTCTGACCTCTGACTTCCCAAGGGGGAGAGAGAATCCACCTCAACCCTATCCCAATACCAATGCCCATGAGGTGGAGGTCAGACAGGCCTCCACCCTCAACCTTCTTTCTCAGTTCCAACCCCCACCATCCCTCCCACAGCACTCCCTACTTCTTGGTTAGGCTCTGTAACTCATTGCACCCAGACGCAGGGGATTCACAGCCAATACTTACAATGACGGGGTTTGTTAAGGAAGTTAGCAGGGTATAATTCAGGATCAGAAATGCTCTGAATACAGTTCTTCCGGAAAGAACCTCTTTTCAGCTGTGCCTACATGTACACCTCTCTCTGGTCCTCAGCTTCTTAGCCACAGGGCCCCTCAGCCTCTACACTGGATGGGAAAGTGCTACAAATCTCTCTTAGCATTGCTTAAAGATACCCATAAGCTCAGCCCCCCCCCCCACCCGCAAAGACACTCAGCTTTTGGTCTGTGAGTCAGCAAACCTAGCTCCTTCAATTGCCTGGGAACACCCTGCCCTGAAAGCAAGCCTACTGCGTGAGGGCACAGAGCTCGACTTACTCCATGGGCTGGGAAGCCCACCTTCCTGTTTCACACCCCTGCCTCTCCTGCCTCTGCTGCCATCACTTCTCCAGCACGTCTCTGCTGCCATAGTCCTTTGTCTCCTGAGCTGAGCAAGCTCAGCACCAGCCTCTTCAGAGGATGCCTTCTAATCCCAGCTCGTCTTTCTTGATGAGATCCACCACTCCCACTTCACAGATGGCTCATTTGAAACCAAGCAGACTGGCCACACTGACCAATCGCCTCATTAGGGTTCCACGCTTCGTCTTTGCAGAGTCCCACCCAGTCATGTGGTGGGAGTTACAGAGACCCTGGCTGGAAGAGCCATAGCATGTAACTTGCGTGTGCTGCAGGGCTTGACTTCCTCAGGTCCTCCTCAGCAGCCTCCCCAGCACTTTCACATCCATGTGCCGTAGACAAACTATGAAAGGACCAAGGGCCTCGGGGTGCATATCCTTTAACCCAGAGGGGCGCGTGGAGAAAGGAAAAGGGAACGGGGAAGATACCTTTGCTCGCGCACAGTTGGCCTGACCATCCTATTTCTAGAAAGGGGTCTTTGTCCAGGTGCCAACAGCATAGCCATCCCGTGACTAAGGTGCATAACCTGCTAGTTACAAAGACGGCAATCCTGCATTTGCTGGCTATTGGCAAACCCACTGACATTGAGTCCATTCCAGATCATAGCGATCCTATGGGATAGAGTAGCTCTGTCCTGTAGAGTTTCTGAGACCGTACATCTTTATGGAAAACGAATACCCCCTCTCTCTCCTATGGAGCACCTAGTGGGCTTGAACTGTGAAACTTTTACACAGCAGCCCAAAGCTTAACCCGTGGTGCCACCAGGATTCCAGAGAGTTCAAATCACTGAAATAACTGCATTCCTTGGAATGCATGTTTTCACACAGGTAAGTCATCATGGAGATGGTGAGAAGCAACCGATTTTTCCTTCAAAAGATTAATTGTTAATGGGTGCCTCTGCCGTGGGACTCTTAGAGATCCAAATTCTCCCCCACCAAAAAAAGCCCTGAAGTTGACCCCCAACCAAAAAAACTCAGGGCCATTGAGTCACCATAATGACCCTATAGGACAGGGTGAAACTGTCCCTATGGGTTTCTGAGACTGTAACTCTTTATGGGAGTAGAAAGCCTCATCTTTCTCCTACAGAGTAGTTAGTGGTTTCAAACAGCTGACTTTGTACTTAGCAGCCCAACAAGTAGCCCACTATTCCACTAGGCCTCTAACAGTACTACCAGGGCTTCTAAATTGTTATATAGATTTAACATAATGTCTATTGAAATATCAGCAGAATTTTTTGTAGATAAAGACAGGGCTGATTCTAAAATTCAAATGGTCTAAATAACCAAAGCAACTCACTGCTGTAGTATGACATGTTCTACTTTCCTGTTAGTCATTACACAGAGAAGCAACTAAAAACGCTCCCATCCGCTGCCCCTTCATTCTTTCTCTTCCAAAATCCCACATCTCCATGAGTCAGAAACCTTTGCCGCAAATCCCACTTCTGACACCAACTGTAAATATGGCATGATGGCGTCAGACCTCATCAAACTTCAGGGTGAGGAGAAGACACACCATCAACATCAGCCCACGGTGGATGGTTCCCGTAAGGTGGGGGGCAGATATACCTCCTCTCTCCAACCATTTTACCAATTCTGACACCAATCATCCTTTGCACAGCACTTTCTATGTCTCTGCTGGGTTTAATCACTCATTACAATAGTCACACAGACTGTACTCCCAGTTGTGGGGTTGACTAGGGTAGTAAAAGAACACAATTCAAGATCAGGAATGACTCATGATACAGTTCTTCCATCAGGACAGCTTCTTCTCAGCTCTGCCCTTAGAGAGGCCTCTCTGTCTTGACTCTCAGCCCCTCAGCCCCTCATCCTGGTCTCTGTCTTGCTCAGGCAAACATTGCAAAGCTCTTTAGAGTCACCAATAAGTGCCCAGAGGTACCTTAACCTGCCAGTAAGCCTCCTGCCCAAAGGCACTCAGCTCTCTGGCACCCCGGGTCAGCAGGTCTAGCTCTTCCAAGTACCTAGAGACACCCCACTCCACCAAATCTCTCTACAAAGGTGTTACTCTATGAGCAGTTATAAACCACCAGCTTATCTGTGAGAGAAATATGAGGCTTTCTGCTCCCTCTAAGAGCTTCAGCCTCAGAAACTTTCAGCGGCAATTCTGCCCTTACAGGGTTGCTATGAGTCCGCTGGCATCCACTCAATAGCAGTGAGTGAGTGAGTGTGTTAGTCTGGGTAGACTAGAGAAACATATCCACAAAAAATCATATGTATATAAGAGTTTTATATGAAAGGTAAGTGTACATTAAGAAAGCATCCCAGTCCAGTCCAGTCCAAGCCCATAAGTACGACATTAGCACATATGTCGGACACCAATCTACAAAGTCCTCCTCCAACCCACAAAACACACACAATAACACTGAACGCAGGAGGAAAGCTGAATGAGTGTGTACGTAAGCATCCCAGCACTGGCAGGGGTCTCTACACAGCTTCTCCAGCACCCAGGGCTCCATCAGAGTAGGTCCATGTGACTTCTCCTCAGGGATGTCTTTCAGGAAGTGAGCCTTGTCAGCTGAAGCAGGGAACTGGCTAAGGCAGCCACACACTGATCTGACCATCAGAGAACAAGAGACCAGAGAACCAAAAGGTCGAGGCTCACCAAGCCATTTATCTCTCTGCCCTTCAATCAATCCTACATGTGTTTATCAGCCAGGTTGGCACAATGAACCTTAACTGTCACAGTGAGTGAGGACTCTGTCATGTTCATACTGATACCTGTACACACATACTCACATTTACACACATGAGCATTCACATGCACACGCACACTCACCCCTCACATGCAGGCTCATTCTCACTCCCTCACACATTATTACTCTCATACACACGCTTGCTCATACCTTAATGAGCATACATGCTCACTTACACTTGCCCTCACACACGTCGGTGTTCTCACACCCACACCCTTTCACATACGGATGCACTTGCTCATACACACATGCTCACACCTTGACACACCCACATGTGTTCAATGCTCTAACACACTCACACACCCTCTGCTCCCTACCACCACTATGGAGGAGTTCTTATCTAAGTTCAGGTGGAACCCAGCTTCTGATCATTCAGCAGTTTCTTCCTCAACCAAGGTCACAACCCCAGCCCAGTAGATGGGGACTTGCCCCTCTGGGCCTCAGTTTCCCCTCCAGTCAACTGTAGGAAGTAAACCAGGTATTCTCAAGAGTTCTTGGCCAGGAAGGCCCAGGATCGTAGAAGCAGCTCCCTCAGTCTCAGCATCAGGCCAAGGGGCGGAGGCCTGGGAGCCCCAAGGGACTGAGAACCTCCCAGAGGCAGCAGCTCCCAAGCTGAGCGGATTTCCAAGCCTCACACGCCTAGCAAGCCTTTCACATGAATATGTGTGAACTGGGGAGAGGCAGCTGCGGGCCGGAGCAGAGGCAGTGGAGAGAGAGCAGCATCAGGGTCGCAGCGGCAGAAGCCAGCCGGTGAGTTCCAGCTGTTACCCTCAGCCCCACCG